AAGGCTGCAGTCAGAATGATAACAAATTCCCACTCCTGACAACATACTCCACCAATATTCAAAAGCCTAAAACTGCTCACCGTTAAGAACATCCATACTTATTCAGTTGCCAACTACATACATAGAACACTACACTCAAACATAAACCCTCCACTCAAACTTCTCCCCACCAACCTTAACAGGACACACGACTACAACACAAGACACAGATCTCTTGTTGATGTATCCCATGTTCATATCTCGCTGTGTAAAAACTCTATGCACAATAAGGGTCTCAAAATTTGGAATTCATTACCAGTAAATACTAAAGTAACCAGGTCTGAACACCAGTTTAAGGCTCTTCTCAGAAACCATCTACTCACCCTAAACTAAATACTCAATACTCAATATTTAGCTTTACCGAAAAATTATCCAAATCTTAAACTTCAAATCTAGATGCCCAAAGTTCATGCATTATTAATCCTACTTTGTAGTATAAATACCTACTCAAAACAATACTGCCTTACACCCAACTGTAGCAATCTCGTACTGTAAACTGCTTTCAACAACTCACAATGTTATATTGTACATATAGCCAGACTTGAGTCCTGGAAATGGGAAGTACAATGCCTGCACTTTAAAGGAGGGGTTTTGGGATATTGGCAGTTTGGAGGGATATGTTGTGTATCTTTATATGTACATATATACTTCTAAACTGATGTATTCTGAGCACCTTTGCAAAAACAGTGATTATGTGTGAGTGAGGTGAAAGTGATGAATGATGAAAGTATTTTCTTTTTGGGGATTTTCTTTCTTTTTGGGTCACCCTGCCTCAGTGGGAGATGGCTGACATGTTAAAAAAAAAAATATCATTAATGAAATTATTGTAATTAGAATAAGACTACTGTCTGCTATTTTATTTATTTATTTATTTATTTAGTAATTTTAGCATACATACAGAGGTACAAAAAAATACAGGTAAGAGCAGCATGCCAAAGCCACTTATATGCATAGCATTACAGGCTGGCTTAAAATTAACTTAAGATTAACTAAGCAATGATGAAATCAGTGATAAAACATTATTGTAAACAGATAACTATTTATTTATTTATTTATTTATTTATTATAAATTTGTGCACACATACAGAGGTACAAAAAAATACAGATAAGAGCAGTATGCCAAAGCCACTTATACTATGCATAGCATTACGGGCTGGCTTAAAATTAACTTAAGATTAATTAAGCAATGATGAAGTCAGTGATAAAACATTAATGTAAACAGATTACTATAAAGCACAAGTGAGTATTACAAAGACAGGTCATATGAAGGATTCTGTTAGGTAGTGTATTTAAAAAATAATAAAGTTAGATTGGGTCCTAGGTTTAACATTTGTGTGATATAATTGTGAGTAACATATAGGATATACAATTTATAAGGTTCAGTTATTCAGTAATTATTTGGTTTTGAGTGAGTAAGTGATCTTGAGAAGAGACTTGAATTTATAAACAGGTAGTGTTTCTTTTATATTTACAGGTAATGAATTCCAGATTTTAGGGCCTTTTATGTGCATTGAGTTTTTGCATAGCGTGAGATGGACACGAGGAACATCAAAGAGTGATCTGTGCCTTGTGTTATGGTCATGTGTTCTGTTGAGGTTGGCAAGGAGATTTGAGGGGAGGGTTAATATCAGAGTTAAGTGTTCTATGTATGTAATAGGTGCAGTAATAAGTATGGATGTTTTGTATGGTGAGTAGGTTGAGTGTTTTGAATATTGGTGGAGTGTGCTGCCTGTAGTGAGAATTTGTTATCATTCTAACTGCAGCCTTTTGTTGGGTAATTAGTGGTCTGAGATGGTTAATTGTTGTTGAGCCCCATGCACAAATTCCATAGGTGAGATAGGGGTAAATAAGAGAGTGATAAAGGGCCAGGAGGGCTGACTGTGGAACATAGTACCGTATCTTCGATAGTATGCCTACAGTCTTGGAAATTTTCTTAGAAATTTGTTGTATATGTGTATGAAATTTGAGTCTATTATCAAGGTGGATTCCTAAGAATTTTCCCTCTGTTAGCTTTGTGATAGGTGATCTGTTTATCGTTATGTTAAGAGGTACATCTGTAGCTCTGTTACCAAACTGAATGAAGTAGGTTTTGTCAATGTTTAGTGTAAGTCTGTTAGTCCTCATCCAGGTAGATATTTTCTGTAATTCGGTGTTTACAGTATTGGCTAGCGTGACTGGGCTCGGGTGAGAGAAGACGTATGTAGTGTCATCTGCAAAAAGTGTGGGTTTGAGTAATTGCGAAGCATTTGGTAGGTCATTTATGTATAGGAGAAAGAGAAGAGGGCCAAGGACACTTCCCTGTGGGACACCAACTGTAATTGGTTGAGTGGAAGAGCTTGCCCCATTTGCGTACACATATTGGCTTCTGTTGCTGAGGTATGACTTGAGGTAGTTGAGGGAGTGCCCTCTAATACCATAGTGTGACAATTTTACGTGGAGCAAGTCATGGTCAACTGTATCAAAAGCTTTACGTAAGTCAATGAAGATCCCCAGTGGGACTTCTCTTTTCTCTATTGCAGTGTATATATGTTCTAGCATGTGTATAATAGCATCATTAGTATTTTTATTAGGCCTGAATCCAAATTGGCAGGGGTTGAGAATGTTTTGGGAGATGAGGTAGGAGTAGATTCGTTTATGAATTAATTTTTCAAAGATTTTTGAGAGAGGGTGTAAATTGGATATTGGCCTATAGTTATTCAACTCTATTTGGTCTCCTCCTTTATGGATCGGGGTGACCCTTGCTATTTTGAGAGCTGTAGGGAAGGTGGAGGATTCAATGGATTTGTTAAAGAGTGTTGCAATGATTAGTGATAGTACTTGTGACACTTTTTTGTATATAAAGGGTGGTAAGGTATTTAAATCTCCTGCCTTGTTTTTTAGTGCGTTGATAATAAGGGAGACTTCATATGGGTTAGTCGGAGCTAGGAACAGCGTGTTCGGGTAGTTGCCAGTGAGGTAGTCATTTGGTGGGGTATCTGAGCTTGGGATTTTATTGGCAAGGTTTTGTCCTATAGTGGAGAAGAAATCATTGAGTCTGTTTGCTGTTTCTGTTGGTGGGAGTTGGGGTTCATCTGATTTTGCTAATTTTATTTCGCTATTTCGTGATATCTTTTTTGTTCCCAGAATTTCTGATAGGGTCTTCCAGGTCTTTTTTATATCACCTCGTAAGTTGGATAATCTGTTCTCATAATACAGTTTTTTTGCCCTTCTTATCAGAAGATGTATAACTTAAACAAACTATGATCAATTTCCTTAGTATTAAGTCTGCCCATAATGCCTATGCATGATAGTGGCTCTGTTTGCACTGTACTCTATTATTGTAATTTCATAATCTCAATGTAACCTTGCAAAGAAATAAGCTTTGTCAGTTTTATTTGTTGTAGCAAGGAGGAGGCTGGAGGCAGTGGAGATGTGCCCGGAAGGTAGAAGAGGGGTTATTGAGGTGATCTGGATATTTTAAAAGGATGGAGCAAAGTAGGATGACTTGGAGGGTGTAAAACTTTGTAGCAGAGAGAAGGAGGGGTAGGGATCATCCAGGAAAAGTTGGAGGGAGGGGAATAAAGGAAGTTTTGTATGTGAAGGGCTTGGACATCCAACAGGTGTGTTGTATAGGAGCGAGTGGAGGCAAGTGGTTTATATGACTTGAAGTACTATTGGAGTGTGAGCAAGGTAACATTTGTGAAAAGAATCAGGGAAGCCAGTTAGTTGGACTTAGAGTCCTGGAGAAGGAAAGTACAGTACCTGCACTCTGATGGAGGGGTGGAGATATTTGTAGTTCAGAAGGGCATCTGAGTTGTAATGTTGGTGTGCCTCTGGTAAGACCAATTGATGGTGTGAGTGGTGGTGAGGTTCTTCTTATTTCAGGCCACCCTGCCTCGGTAGGAGACAGCCAGTATTTTAAAAAATCAGTTCTGATTGTCCTGAACTTTGCCTTTATGTTCTGAATCCAGAATTTAATCAGATCTGAGAGATTTATATTTTCCTGTTTAAATATTTTTAGAAATGTATATTACCAGTTGTCCTGTCTTGTAATAATTGGAAATTTAAGCATGAAACAGAAGCAGAGTTTATGCAGCCTATTCCCAATATTATAGGCTGAAAATATTAACCTTATGTCTGACAGTAACCAAGATAAGCAAATTTTTTATATTCAGGCTCTCAAGGGTGAGAATAGATTGTAATTTTTTTTTTATAAACACAGCATAAATTGACACCATAATTATATGTTCCTGAAGGTAGTAGGTTGGTAGACAGCAGCCACCCAGGGAGGCACTACCGTCCTGCCAAATGAGTGTAAAATGAAAGCCTGTAATTGTTTTACATGATGGTAGGATTGCTGGTGTTCTTTTTTCTGTCTCATAAACATGCAAGATTTCAGGTATGTTTTGCTACTTCTACTTACACTTAGATCACACTACACATGCATGTACAAGCATATATATACATACCCCTCTGGGTTTTCTTCTGTTTTCTTTCTACTTCTTGTTTATTTCCTCTTATCTCCATGGGGAAGTGGAACAGAATTTTTCCTCCGTAAGCCATGCGTGTCGTAAGAGGCGACTAAAATGCCAGGAGCAAGGGGCTAGTAACCCCTTCTCCTGTATATATTACTAAATTTAAGGGGAGAAACTTTTGTTTTTCCTTTTGGGTCACCCCACCTCAGTGGGATATGGCTGGTTCGTTGAGAGAAGAATTACATGTTCTATAATTTTCTAGCTTGTACTTTTAGCAGAGTACAATTTGGCAGTGCATCTGTCTGGCTATTAGCCAACAGTGGATCAAGCTTTCACCACTTTTATTGCACAAGTGATATGAATGTGCTTAGTGGTACAGTAAAAATACAAATAAAAATAAATGCAGAAATACTGCTAGTACCTTTAAGAGCTTGAGGTAACCCCTTAATGTCTTTTGACCTTAAATATATATTAACTGGTTGACCAATAGTATTACTCTCCTTTTAGGGATCGGTGGTTCGTCATGTTATTGCCTCCAGCTCATATAAAGAGAAGAATACTATGTTATACATCCTTCATGCTGTTGGAGCCCCTCGTTGTCAACAACTCTACCCAGACTGCACTGATGGATGTTCACCAAGAGGGTCATTTGATGGTGTTCCCCAAGAAAGTAACCAGTTTTCACGTTGCCGTGTAAATTTTGATGAATTTTTGGATACTGCTATGTTTGAGAAAACCAAAAGTGAAATGCAGGCAGAGGCTACATTAGGGTGAGTTAGGAGAATGACCACTCATTTTTATTAAAAATAAATTTAACTTTTTCTAATTTTGGCATGTTTGTAATTGGGATTTACTTTGTATTATAATTTTATCTTTGTTGTTTTTAGATCAAATATATTGATTATTGGTATAATATTTTGGTGTATGTGTAGTCATCTCATTTTTTTGTTGTAAAAATCAGTCAAAAAAATTGAGTGTTTCTTTTGAGGGGAAGAAGAAACTGATACTGTAATATAATATTCCCTTGCTTCAAGTGTTCAAGAATGCTGTTGTGAAATCTTCCATATTCATAGTGTTTCCAGGAATGCAATTCCTGTGAATATTGTAGTGATGACAAGAACAGCTCATGGATGCTAATGTCCATATATCCTTTAAAATAAATGCATTGCTGTTCAGTTATCCACAACCACTTCCTATTCTCCCTATAATACACTAAATACAGTTCTTTCTTTCTTCTCTCAACAAACCGGCTGTATCCCACCATAAAGAAAACAAAAGTTTCTCTTTTCAAATTTAGTAATTTATAGAGGAGAAGGGGTTACTAGTCCCTTGCTCCCGGCATTTTAGTCACCTCTTACAACACGCATGGCTTACTGAGGAAGAATTCTGTTCCACTTCCCCATGGAGATAAGAGGAAATAAACAAGAACAAGAACTAGAAAGAAAATAGAAGAAAACCCAGAGGGGTGTGTGTATATACATATATGCTTGTACGTGTATGTGTAGTGTGACCTAAGTGTAAGTAGAAGTAGCAAGACATACCTGAACTAAATACAGTTATAGGAAAAAAAAAGAGGCAGTGAATGGAACTGGCTGACCCACTGATGTTATTTTCACATTTTTAAGAAATGTTCATATTTTGTTGTAAGGTGAGTGTACATATTTCATCATGGACACAGTTTGTTTGCTTCTGGTGAGAAAAATATCTCTTCATATTGTCTTTTGTCTGTCTCATAAACATGCATGATTTCAGGTATGTCTTGCTACTTCTACTTGCACTTAGGTCACACTACACATACATGTAAAAGCATATACGTATATACACACACCCCTCTGGGTATTCTTTATTTTCTTTCTAGTTCTTGTTCTTGTTTATTTCCTCTTATCTCCATGGGGAAGTGGAACAGAATTCTTCCTCCATAAGCCATGCGTGTTGTAAGAGGCGACTAAAATGCCGGGAGCAAGGGGCTAGTAACCCCTTCTCCCGTATAAATTACTAAATTTAAAAGAGAAACTTTTGTTTTTCTTTTTGGGCCACCCCGCCTTGGTGGGATATGGCCGGTGTGTTGAAAGAAAGAAAGAAAATATTTATTTTGGGAGGTGAAGTATTTGCAACAGTCATGGTAATAATTCTGTTATCATTACAGTATATATTTACTAATACCTATAATCTGTAATGTATTATTTTTTAATTTTTATTTCCTAGAATACAAAGGCAGATTAGTGAGTTAGACTCGCAGATAGACGATATAATACCAGAATAAATTAGCAACTGTATCTGGATTAGATTTAAGTCTATTGCATGTGGATTTCTACTCCATTGCAGATCTAAATACGCTAGAGTTCACATTATAGGATTTTGTCATCAAGTTTCAGGGAATGTCTAGTAAAATGTTATATCGTCATCAGTGAAGATATTATGTGGCCTTGGTAATAATGGTAGAGTTATTGACAGATGTGCAGCTAATATGACATTTTATTATGGCAACATTTCACTCTCCAGGAGCTTTGGCATATTGAATTGTAACATTAGTTACATATGTGTCCATTTACCTAAAATTACATGGCCTTATTGAAACTAGTTGGTTGTTTTATGTCTAATTCATACCTGTCTTATTGCAGGGAGTAATATGTGAAACTTGAAATCTAAGTTCTGATTTGACACTTTAAGATTTTAATACATCTTATAACAAGCATTTAGTGTTAAGGAAAATACAGTAATGTTTTTAACATTGTCATTAATGCAAATAAGAATTAATACATATGTAAGTGTCTGTTTACAGACTTTCTTTTTCTATCAGGTTCTCCAAAGTGCTTCACATAAATAAGAAAGGAGGACGCATATTGTCTCTTGATGGTGGCGGAATCAAGGGTCTTGTCCTGATTCAACTTTTAATTGCTTTGGAAGAAGCAACTGGCCGACCAGTTCTCCAATTATTTGATTGGATTGCTGGAACGAGCACTGGGGGTATCCTTGCTCTAGCACTGGCAATGGGTTAGTTATGCAATTTAAAGTATACTAATAAAGATAGTGATAGTGTGAATGATGGTGACAGTGTTTCTTTTTCGGGTCACCCTGCCTTGGTGGGAGACGGCCAGTGTTAAAACAGTTTACACCAATATTTTCCTAGGAGTATGTACTGGCTTAGTGAGTAAAAATGGAGACATCTTCGTAATTTAATGTGTTTTGTAGCTTGTCTCAGTTTTTCCTGGTATTAATTCTGCAGCACATCACACAGTCATACTCAGGAAGAACAAGAGGCCACACATATGTAAACTAAGACTAAAACAGTTTCAAGTGTGTACTAAAACATGTTTTTTACACAAACATTGTATGCAGCTCCCGAGCCAGATCCATATAGTTCATCGTTTATAAAGAAATACAAAAACACCACTATCACGAGCACTCAGTATTCTTTGGAGAAAGAGCTTACAACTAGATGAAATCTCAGAGGCCCTAGAAAATGCATATATAGCTCCTCTGTACAAAGGAGAAAGTAGACCACTGGCAAAAAACTACAAACTATTTTCAAAGTCTTTGGAAGGTTGATGAGATCCCAGATCACAAACTTTATGGAAAAGCATGACCTTCTCAACCCAGACTAACTTGGATTGATGAGAGAGAGCATTTTTGTCACACCTGCTTAGGGACAGAGCCAGTGTTTCTATATTTGGAGGGCTTGTTGAAAGGTGGGCTAGGAGACTTGTTTTGAAGCAGCATTAATATTATTACATATTACATATATTCTAGGGGTTTGGGATATTTTCTGTTTAGAGTGATGTCTAAATTGTCATGTCTGCATGCTTCTGGCATGACAGTGATAGTGTGAATGATGGTGAAAGTGCTTTTTTGTGTCACCTTGCATCGGTGCGAGATGGCCAGTGTGTTAAAAATAATTCTGTTGGGGTGCTTCAGTAGTCCCCAAGCCCCTCTCTCCCTCCCCGGGCACCACCCCTGCAACTATTAAACCATTACAATGAAACTACAGAGCCGTTGGTAAAAACACGGTCTACATGGATTTTTTTGAAAGCATTTGACAAAAGGAAAATGGCAACAACAAGTAAGAGAGAGGTGAAAGTGTATAAACTAAGTGAGGAAGGTGTTTGGGTGAGATATAAGCAACTATCGGCAGAAAGGTGGGCTAGTGCAAGTATGAGTAGTAGGGGGGTTGAAGAGGGTTGGAATAGTTTTAAAAATGCAGTATTAGAATGTGGTCCAGAAGTTTGTGGCTGTAAGTGGGTGGGTGCAGGAGGAAAGAGGAGTGATTGGTGGAATGACGAAGTAAAGGGTGTGATAAAAGAGAAAAGGGTAGCTTACAAGAGGTTTTTACAAAGCAGAAGTGTTATAAGAAGAGCAGAGTATATGGATAGTAAAAGGTGAAGAGAGTGGTGAGAGAGTGTAAAATGAGAGATGATAGAGTGGAAGAAGCACTGTCAAGAAATTTTGATAAGAATAACAAAAAATTTTTGGAGTGAAATAAACAAGTTAAGAAAGCGTAGAGAACAAATGGATTTGTCAGTTAAAAACAGAGTAGGGGAGTTAGTAGATGGGGAGATGGAGGTATTGGGTAGATGGCGGGAATATTTTGAGGAACTTTTAAATGTCGACGAAGAAAGGGAGGGGGTAATATTGTGCACTGGCCAGGGAGGTATACCATCTTTTAGGAGTGAATGAAGAGCAGAATGTAAGTGTGGGGGAGGTGCGTGAGGCATTACATAGAATGAAAGAGGGTAAAGCAGCTGGAACTGATGGGATCATGACAAAAATGTTAAAAGCAGGGGGGTATATAGTGTTGTAGTGGTTGGTATTTTTGTTTCATAACTGTATGAAAGAGGGGAAGGCACCTAGGGATTGGCAGAGAGCATGCATATTTCCTTTATATAAAGGGAAGGGGGACGAAAGAGATTGTAAAAATTATAGAGGAATAAGTTTACTGAATATTCTAGGAAAAGTGTATGGTAGGGTTATTATTGAAAGAATCAGAGGTAAGACAGAATGTATGATTGCAGATGAGCAAGGAGGTTTTAGAGTGGGTAGGGGATGTGTAGATCAAGTGTTTACATTGAAGCATATATGTGAACAGTATTTAGATAAAGGTAGGGAAGTTTTCATTGCATTTATGGATTTAGAAAAGGCATATGATAGTGGATAGGGGAGCAATGTGGCAGATGTTGTAAGTATATGGAATAGGTGGTAAGTTACTAAATGCTGTAAAGGGTTTTTATGAGAATAGTGAGGCTCAGGTTAGGGTGTGTAGAAGAGAGGGAGACTACTTCCTGGTAAAAGTAGGTCTTAGACAGGGATGTGTAATGTCACCATAGTTGTTTAATATATTTATAGATGGGGTTGTAAAAGAAGTAAATGCTTGGGCGGTGGGGAGAGGGGTGGGATTAAATTATGGGGAATCAAATACAAAATGGGAATTGACACAGTTACTTTTTGCTGATGATACTGTGCTTATGGGAGATTCTAAAGAAAAGTTGCAAAGGTTAGTGGACGAGTTTGGGAGAGTGTGTATAGGTAGAAATAACAAAAAAAGGCACAATACCATGACTGGAACGATACACAAATAACCCGCACATAAAAGAGAGAAGCTTACAACGACGTTTCGGTCCGACTTGGACCATTTACAAAGTCACACTATCCAGAAGTGGAGCAGGACGGCTATATATAGGCAGGAAGAGGTGGTGGTAGTAGTAGTAATAGTAGTACAAGAATGGTATATAATAATAACAAGATGAAATTAAGACACATGCGCAACACCCGGGCATCTCTATCGTAGACGTTTCGCCATCCAGCCAGCCACTGGATGGCGAAACGTCCACAACAAAGACACCCAGACGCCGCACATGTGTCTTAATTTCATCAGTATTAGTAGTAGTAGTAGTAGTAGTAGAAGAGGTAGTAGTAGTGGTAGAAGTGGGGAATAAGGAGGACGAGCCAGTCAGGAAGGGGAGCACTGCAAGGGAGCTAGGTGCCCACAGAGGGAGAGCAAGCGCACAGAGGTGCGTGAAAGGGGAAGTGGTGAAATAAATGAAGGAACAGAAACATGAGACAGAAAAGAGAAAGACAACCCAGAGGAGAAAGAGGAAAGGGGAAGAGGGAGAAGAAGAAAAAGAAAAAGAAAAAAATGAGGAGTCAGGTTAAGTCACGGGTGTTCTGAAGTTTGGAGCATTTTACAATGTAGTGGGAGAGGAAGGCATATACAGAGACAAAGCCAGGGCTAAGATTCATGCAAGGAAAGTTGTGTATTAGAGAGGATTCAACTAGATGGCGACTGTTCGAGTTGGAAGTAGGGAAGACACATGTGCGGCGTCTGGGTGCCTTTGTTGTGGACGTTTCGCCATCCAGTGGCTGGCTGGATGGCGAAATGTCTACGATAGAGATGCCTGGGTGTTGCGCATGTGTCTTAATTTCATCTTGTCGGTATTATATACCATTCTTGTACTACTACTACTACCACCACCTCTTCCTGCCTATATTTAGCTGTCCTGCTCCACTTCTGGTCCAAGTCGGGCCGAAACGTCGTCGTAAGCTTCTCTCTTTTATGTGCGGGTTATTTGTGCATAGGTAGAAAGTTGAAAGTGAATATAAAAAAGAGTAAAGTGATGAGGGTATCAAATGATTTAGATAAAGAAAAATTGGATATCAAATTGGAGAGGAGTATGATGGAAGAAGTGAATGATTTCAGATATTTGAGAGTTGACATGTCAGCGGATGGATTTATGAAGGATGAGGTTAACCATAGAATTGATGAACGAAAAAAGGTGAGTGGCGCATTTAGGTATATGTGGAGACAAAAAACATTATCTGTGGAGGCAAAGAAGGGAATGTATGAAAGTATAGTGGCACTCTTATATGGTGTGAAGCTTGAGTTGTAAATGCTGCAGCGAGGAGGCAGTGGAGTTGTCCTGTCTAAGGTGTAGTGTAAATATTATGCAAAGAATTCAGAGTGTGGAAATTAGAAGGTGTGGAGTTAATAAAAGTATTAGAGGGCTGAAGAGGGGTATTTGAGCTGGTTTGGTCATTTAAAGAGAATCGATCAAAGTAGAGTGACATGGAGAGCGTATAAATCTGTAGGGGAAGGAAGGTGGGATAGGGGTCGTCCTCGAAAAGGTTGGAGAGAGGGGGTAAAGGAGGTTTTGTGGGGGAGGGGCTTGGATTTCCAGCAAGCATGTGTGAGTGTTAGATAGGAGTGAATGGAGACAAATGATATTTGGGACCTGATGAGCTGTTGGAGTGTAAGCAGGGTAATATTTAGTGAAGGGATTCAGGAAAACTGGTTATTTTTATATAGCCAGACTTGAGTACTGGAAATGGGAAGTTCAATGCCTGCACTTTAAAGGAGGGGTTTGGGATATTGGCAGTTTAGAGGGATATGTTGTGTATCTTTATACGTATATGCTTCTAAACTGCTGTGTTCTGGACTCCTCTGCAAAAACAGTGATTATTTGTGAGTGAGGTGAAAGTGTTTCTTTTTGGGTCACCCTGCCTCGGTGGGAGACGGCCAACTTGTTAAAAAATAAAAATTGACAAGTGTGATCATGGAGTGACAGCACATAAAATGAGGTCACAAAGAGTAGTAGTACGTACTAATAAACAAGACAAAGTCTGGCATTAGCAATCGGAATATGCTAAAGTATCAGTCTTTATTGGTCTTAGAAATTAATGAGCATTTTACTGTATTTCAGGAAAGAATTGGATATATTGGCTAGATTGGATGATTGATTAAAAAAATTTTTTTAGTGAGTGGTCTCTAATAACGTTTCATTTACAAAGAACTTTCTCTTTATATTGACCTAAATTTCTTTTTCTTCTCTAGGGAAAAGTGTGCGATATACTCAGGGTCTTTATTTCCGAATGAAAGACCTGGTATTCGTTGGCCACCGTCCATATGATGAAAAGCCTCTTGAAGAAATCTTAAAGAGGGAGCTTGGAGAAACAACTGTCATGTCAGAGATAAAGGGACATAAGTATGCATTTTATTTTTCTTATTGAAATATTGTTTAATACACTGATATTAAGGATGGGTTACAACATAGTTATAAGCATCATGAGCATGAAGTCAGCATACAGAGATAATCTAAGCCACCATCTTCAAGGACGAATCCTAACCCCTTAATTGTGTCCAACATACTAATGGGTAGGTAGTGAGTGTGTCCAGTGTACTAGTTTGGACAAATTTTTATGCTTTAAGATATACCACCTGCCAATATTTTGACCACAACACAACTGTTTGGGCATTCTACAGCCTCTTCATGCCTTTGAAAAAAATATAAGATGAGACAGGTCCATATAGTGCATCATGGATAGCACTGCCTAACTAGCATAAATAAATAATAAAATCAGGACCTGTTGTTCTGTTGCCAGCTTCCCTACCAGCAAAGAGGTGTAGAACTGCAAGAAAAGTACCTTATTCATTCTGTATTAATTACAGTTTCATGATGCTAACAGTAGAATTCAGCCAAAAAAGCACACTATGTAGATTTAGCCTAAGATAATGATATGTAGTCAAATAGTGCGACTTATTTCCATGTTTTCATGAGCATTACACCTTTAAATACTTGCAGTATCATAAAATTTTTTTGTAAATATATGTTATACAGTGGTCTCGAAGGCACACAAGTGTTATGGACATATGGAAATTATGTTAATATAACCCATGATACTCCCTCGAACCTAAATGTAATGTAAAATATAATTAACCTAGAATAACCAAATACAGTGGAACCTCTGTTTTCATATGCTCTTGTTTGTATGTAAAACTATAGTTATTCTCAATAAAATGTATTTTTTGGTTAATATTTCCCATAACATACTACAATGTAAATCCAATTAATTCGTTCCAGACACCCAAAAATATCAGGTACATCTTGCTACTTCTACTTACATTTAAGTCACACTACACATACATGTACACATTTATGTATACACACTCATCTGAGTTTTCTTTGATTTTATCTTAATAGTTCTTGTTCTTTTGCTTTTCCTTTCATATACATGGGGAAGTGATATAAGAATCTTTCTTCTGTAAGCCATGCGTGTTGTAAAAGTCAACTAAAATGCCGGGCACAATGGGCTAGTAACTCCTTTTCTCATACAGTAGAGTGAAGGGATTAGGGGAAACCGGTTATTGTTATATAGCTGGACTTGAGTACTGGAAATGGGAAGTACAATGCCTGCACTTTAAAGGAGGGGTTTGGAATATTGGCAGTTTCTAGGGGTATGTTATATATCTTTATATATGCTTCGAAACTGTTGTATCTGGGCACCTCTGCAAAGACAATGATTATGTAAGAGTGAAGTGAAAGTATTTTCGTTTTCACCCTGCCTCGGTGGGAGACGGCCGACTTGTTAAAAAAAAAAAAACTATAGTTTTACATACAAACTAGGGCATATGAAAACTGAGGCTCCACTGTATAGTTAAAAAATGTTTTGAGGAATATTACACCTTGAAATAATTGGAATATCATAAGTATTCCTTTTACATAGTGTTAGAAGACCAGAGCAGATAAAAAAGAGAAAAAACAATTATTTGTACCAATTTGTACTGTATATTCCAAGTGGAGAAATGTTGGGCAATGCATTTTCTCATGCTTGAAGTTCTAAAACACCTTGAAATACACCTAATTTCATAAGAAACTAGCATATGTACATAGTGTTAAACATAAAAAAAAACAAAAAATGGAAAGTTAATCATAATTTGGCATCAGTAAATTTTATTATTATTATTATTGTTAAGACAACGGCCATTTCCCACCAAGGCAGGGTGGCCCAAAAAAGAAAAACTTTCATCATCATTCACTCTATCACTGTCTTGCCAGAGGCATGCCTACACTACAGTTAGAAAACTGCAACATTAACACCCCTCCTTCAGAATGCAGACACTGTACTTCCCATCTCCAGGACTCAAGTCCAGCGTGCCAGTTTCCCTGAACCCCTTCATAAATGTTAAATTGTTTACACTCCAGCAGCACGTCAAGTCCTGAAAACCATTTGTATCCATTCGCTTCTAACATGCTCATGCACGCTTGCTGGAAGTCCAAGCCCTTCGCACACAAAACCTCCTTAACCCTTTCAGGGGCGACAGGCCCTCTCCCAGACTTGTTCTCAGGGTCACCAAATTTAACCCTTTGAGGGTTTCGGCCGTACAAGTACGGCTTACGACCCAGGGTTTTTGACGTACTAGTACGCCTAAATTCTAGCGCCCTCAAATCTAGTGGGAGAAAGCTGGTAGGCCTACATATGAAAGAATGGGTCTATGTGGTCAGTGTGCAGAGTATAAAAAAAATCCTGCACGCAGTGCATAATGAGAAAAAAAAAAACTTTGACCGTTTTTTTTAATAAAACAGCGACTTTGCACTGTATTTTCGTAAGGTATTTATTGTTGTATTCTAGTTTTCTTGGTCTCATTTTATAGAATGGAAGACATATTACGGAAATAGAGATGATTTTGACTGGTTTTACAATGAAAAGTACCTTGAAATTGAGCTCAAAGTAGCAGAAATGTTCAATTTTTACCAAAGTTCAAAAGTAAACAAATCATGCCAAGCGTCGAATACACATCAACTGGTGAGTCTGATATTCTTTTGCAAGTATGCCAATATTATTCATACCATTTTTTACACTAATGCAGTAGTCTGCATAACATTAAATCTTCTATTTTTCGTGAGAATAAAAATTCAAAGTGGAAAGCAAAAGAATGTAAGAGGGGCCTTGAGACGTGACTAATGAACAGAGAAAATGTCATTTTAGTGCCAGGAATGTCTTTATTGTTTATTCTGGACCCTATTCGGAAATTGGCATTTTTTGAAATTTGTGTGAAATTGGCAAAATTGCTAAATTCTGACCACTGTACTGGATAGTTGAAATTGATAAATGGGTGGTTTCTTGCACTCATTCGATAGAAAAAATGGAGTTCTAGCGAAATATTCATGTTTTTTGTCAACTAGTACAGTGGAATTGGCCGAAAATGGGGCTCAAAGTGGGCAAGATCGCCGATGCGTAAACATCGCCGAGACCGCTAACTTCGCGAGAGCATAATTCCGTAAGTTTTCCATCAAATTTCAAACTTTTGGTGTCATTATGATCGGGAAAAGATTCTCTATCTTTTCATAAGAGAATTTTTTTTTTTTTTTAAATTTGGCCGACCCTGAGAACGAGTCTTGGAGAGGGCCTGTCGACCCTCAAAGGGTTAAAAAAAAAAAAATTTCTTATGAAAAGACAGAGAATCTTTTCCCGATCATAATGACACCAAAAGTATGAAATTTGATGGAAAACTTATGGAATTATGCTCTCGCGAAGTTAGTGGTCTCGATGTTTACGCATCGGCGATTTTGCCCACTTTGAGCCATATTTTTGGCCAATTCCAGTGTACTAGTTGACAAAAATCATAACTATTTCACTAGAACTCCATTTTTTCTATCGAATGAGTACAAGAAACCACCCATTTACTGATTTCAACTATCCAATAAAGTGGTCAGAATTTAGCAAGTTTGCCAGTTTCACGTAAATTTCAAAAGATGCCAATTTCCAAATAGGGTCCAGAATAAACAAGAAAGACATTCCTGGCACTAAAATAACATTTCCTCTGTTCACTATTCACATCCCCAGATCCTCTTACATTTCTTTTGCTTTCCACTTTGAATTTTTTTCTCACAAAAAATAGAAGATTTACTGTTATGCAGACTACTGTATTAGTTTAGAAATGGTATAAATAATATCAGCGCACTTGTAAAAGAATATTAGACTCACCAGTTGATGTGTATTGGACGCATGGCATGATTTGTTTACTTTTGAACTTTGGCAAAAATCAAACATTTCTGCTACTTTGAGCTCAATTTCAAGGTACTTTCCATTGTGAAACCAGTCAAAATCATCTCAATTTCTGTAATATGTCTTCCATTCTATAAAATAAGACCAGGAAAGCTAGAATACAACCATAAATACCATACAAAAATACAGTGCAAAGTCTCTGTTTAAAAAAAAAAAACACTGTCAAAGTTTTTTTTTTCTCATTATGCACTGTGTGCTGCAGGATTTTTTTAATACTGTGCACACTGACCACATAGACCCATTGTTTCATATGTAGGCCTACCAGCATTCTCTTGCTAGATTTGAGGGCGCTAGAATTTATGCATACTAGTATGTCAAAAACCCTGGCGCATAAGCCGTACTAGTACGTCGGAAACCCTGAAAGGGTTAATCCCCCTCCCTCCAACCTTTCCTAGGCCGACCCCTACCCCGCCTTCCCTCCAGTACAGATTTGTATACTCTCGAAGTCATTCTATTTTGTTCCAACCTCTCTAAATGTCCAGACCATCTTAGTAACCCCTTCTCAGCCCTCTCGATAATAGTTTTGGTAATCCCACAACTCTCAGACCAAGCCGCGGGAGCATTGACCCCGAAACCCTCTCCAGGTAAACTCTAGTTGGTAAACCTCCTCCTAATCTTGAAACTATGGATTCTCTGCATTATGTTCACACCACACATTGCCCTCAGACATGACATCTCCAATGTCTCTAGCCTTCTCCTTGTTGCAACATTCACAACCCATGCCTTACCCATTCAAGAGTGTTGGTATAACTATACTCTCATACATTCCCCTCTTTGCTTTCTTGGATAAAGTTCTTTGTCTCCACAGACTCCTCAGTGCACCACTCACCTTTTTCCCCTCATCAATTCTGTGATTCACCTCATCCTTCATAGACCCATTTGCTGACACGTCCACTCCCAACTATCTGAACACATCCACATCCTCCAAACTCTCTCCCTCCAATCTGACATCAGTAAATCAGTAAATTGTCAGATGTAAATATCGCAGGCAAATTGTGCCGCTGTTGCCGAGTAATAATTTTTTCTTCAACTTCAGCACCATTAAATTGTAAGTTTTTATCAGATTCCACTCACTTTAGTCTTTTAGTTGGTAAGTTTTTTTTTTTTTTTTTAAACTTGCCATACAGGAAATTTAATT